AGATCGAGACCAGGATGGTCTCGATCTCTTGACCTCGTGATCCACCCGCCTCGGCTTCCCAAAGTGCTGGGATTACAGGCGTGAGCCACCGCGCCTGGCTCCCTTCTCTTTTATTAATTTTTCTCTTCTTTTTTTTTTTTTTAAAGTTTTTGTATTTCTGATTATCCAAGTAAATATTTCATTGTAATTGACAAACCTTAAATACATTTCATTTTTTCTATGTTTAAAAATTTTTTACGTACCAAAACATTTCCGTGTATAAAAAAGAACAGAGCTGAAATCATATCATATATATAATTTTAGGTCTTGCTATTTTTACTCAAGCCATTCCGGTGTCATTACACACTTTTTTTTTTGAGATGGGGTCTTGCTCTGTTGCCCAGGCTGGACTGCAATGACGCAATCTCGGCTCACTGCAACCTCCGCTTCCTGGGTTCAAGCAATTCTCCTACCTCAGCTTCCTGAGTAGCTGGGACTACAGGTATGTGCAACCACACCCAGCTAATTTTTGTATTTTTAGTAGAGATGGGGTTTCACCATGTTACTCAGGCTGATCTCTAATGGATGTTTCAGAAATTCTCCATCACTCCTTAGTGCTGAATATGTAAATTGACTGGAATTCTTCCTTGTTTATTTTAAATAAGTGTGTTGACAATAGTGGAGGTGTTGGTAACAACCAAGAAGAGGAAATAAATCATGACCAGAGTGTTTTGATATGTATATGGATATTTTCTGTGGTTGGAGGTAGGAAACATAGACAGCCACAGCCAGATCAGTGGAACTTAAGCGAATGTTTCCTGGAATGTCCAGGAACATGTACATGTATATCAGGGTTTCTAAAAGGTGGGATAATGATGAAGAGTATGATACCTTACATCTATGCAGCACTTTGCCCTTTCTTTTTTTTTTTTTTGAGACAGAGTTTTGCTTTTGTTGCTCAGGCTGGAGTGCTATGGTGCGATCTTGGCTTGCAGCAACCTCTACCTCCCAGGTTCAAGCAATTGTCCTGCCTCAGCCTCCCCAGTAGCTGGGATTACAGGCATGCACCACCACACCTGGCTAATTTTGTATTTTTAGCAGAGACAGGGTTTCTCCTTGTTGGTCAGGCTGGTCTCGAATTCCTGACCTCAGGTGATCTGCCCACCTGAGGCTTCCAACGTGCTAGAATTACAGGCAGGAGCCACCATGCTTGGGCTTCTCCCTTTCTTTACCTTGTTTCAAGAAGGATTTAGGATGAACTCAACAAAAACAAAACAACCCAATCAAAAATGGTTGAATAGACATTTCTCCCCACCCCAAAAAGACGATATACAAATGGCCAATAAGCACATAAAAAGCACCAGCCGGGCCTGGTGGCTCACGCCTGTAATCTCAGCACTTTGGGAGGCCGTGGCAGGTGGATCATGAGGTCAGGAGTTCAAGACCAGCCTGACCAATATGGTGAAACTCCATCTCTACCAAAAATACAAAAATTAGGCATGGTGGTGTGCGCCTGTAGTCCCAGCTACTTGGGAGGCTGAGACAGGAGAATCACTTGAACCTGGGAGGCAGAGTTTGCAGTGAGCCAAGATCATATCACTGTATTCCAGCCTGGGCAACAGGGTGACTCCATCTCAAAAAAAAAGGTACTCAACATCATGAATTATTAAAGAAATGTGAATCTGAATCAAAATCATAATGAGATACCACTTCATACCCATTAGTACTACTGCAAGGGGAAAAAAACCAGGCAATAACAAGTGTTGATGAAGATGTGAAGAAACTGGAACACGTATGACTTTTAGTAGGAATGTAAAACGGTGCAGTCACTATGAAAAACAATATGACTGTTCCTCAAAAAAATGTAAAATAGAATTACCATATTATCCAGC